AAAAAAAAAAAAAAAAAACACATCTTAGTAAAACCAATACCTTCTCAGCTTCGCATCGAAGCTAAAATACGATTTTTGTAAAAAAATTTTTTTTCATATTTTTAACTTTATATCGCTATAACTTTTTGAAAAATGTATGGATCAATACTATTTTTTTATGAGAAATAATATTTATATACCTTTTTAATTCAATATACTTTTTTTTTAAATGGGACCATTTCCCTTAATACAGGTGAGGTTCAAAACATAAAAATGCATATAGAAAGTAGAACTTTTTCAACTTGACTTTTGAAAATGTTCCGGAAAGTGTGACACTTTTATATATATCTTAAATTAAAGATAATGTAATATACTTTATTATGAAAAAAAAAAAACCCAGCACAGGGGGATCGTGGCACAGTGGTGACGTGGCATAGTTGGATCAAGTATAATGATATCTGACAGTGATTAAAATCACTATCAAAAATAAACGCTTCGATGCAAATCTTTAGATAGTGTTTAATTTTAAAAAAATTGGTGTTTTATTCCAAAAGCTACTTGATCTGCTGGTTCCTTATTAATATCTCGATTAAGATAAAGTATGTCGAATGAAAAAGGGTTTATTAAAAAATATTATTTCTCATAAAAAAATTGTGTGGATCCATAAACTTTTCAATAAGTTATAGCATTATAAAGTTAAATATAATATAAATAATAAAATCGAGAATTTTCACACGAAAATAGCATTCGGTAGCCGTTTTCACCACGAAGACAAGTCCAGAGGTCAAATTCTTTTTTTCAAAATAAAGTACATTACATTAGCTTTAAATTAAGTTATATATAAAAGTGTCAGACCTTCCGGAACATTTTCAAAAGTTAAGTTGAAAAAGTTAATTTTTTGTGAAAAAGTTGTCATTTTAAATCCCCCCCTGTGGGCAGAAAAAAGGTCAAATTTACAAAAAAAATATACCAAATAATAGGTAAAGACATCAAACATCTATATAAAAAAAAATTATATTGATATGTTCATTTTTGAAAAAGTTACGGCAGTTTTTAGTAAAAAAAATTGAAAAAATTTCGAAAATTAGCGATTTTTAAATTTGTAATTTTTTTGGAGGTTTCCCCCATTTACGGGGAACGAGGGAAATTTTTTTAGTTTTTGAAGGTAATATCTTCGACTAGATACGATTAGTGATCTTTTGACGAATCGTTGAAAGAAATCCGTTCGGTGAGAGCTGAGAAAAAGTGGTAACAGACACAAAAAAAAAAAAAAAACACATCATAGTAAAACCAATACCTTCTCAGCTTCGCATCGAAGCTAAAATTTGACCTCTGGACTTGTCTTCGTGGTGAAAATGGCTACCGAATGCTATTTTCGTGTGAAAATTCTTGATTTTATTTTTTACATTTTTAACTTTATAATTTAAACTGATTGAAAAGTGTATGGACCAAAACAATTTTTTTATGAGAAATAATATTTTTTAATAATCCCTTTTTCATTCAGGATATTAATAAGAAAATAGCACATCATGTAGCTTTTGGAATAATCCACCAATTTTTTAAAATTAACACTATTTAAAGATTTGCATTGAAGCGTTTTTTTTATAGTAATTTTAATTACTGTTAGATATCATTATACTTGATCCAACTATGCTACGTCACCACTGTGCCGCGACCCCCCTGTGTTGGGTTTTTTAACTTAAAACTGCCATAACTTTTTGAAAAATAGATAAATAGAAACAATTTTTTTTTATAGAAACTTTAGTTATTTACCTATCATTTGGTATATATTTTTTGTAAATCTGTCCCTTCAACTGGCCATAGTAGGTAATGAGAAATTAACTTTTTCAACTTAATTTTTGAAAATGTTACGAAAATACTGA